TTCAAAAAAAAAAAAAAAAAAAAAAAAAAAAAAAGAGAGAGTTACTGGTTCAAAACTTATAATACTAGGCTGGGGATTTAGCTCAGTGATTCTGCCACCCAACTTGCAAGTGCAAGGTCCCAAGTTTGATCCCTAGTACCAAAAACAAATAAATAAGTAAAAACACTAGCTGCCTTTAAAAATAAAACCTACAATACCTTTATAAGCTAATACATTTTATTATAACTTTACCTTTTTGAGTCACACAAAATAGTGAAAAGAAACTCTAATTTTTCTTCTATATGTAAGATCTTGGGTGGTTCAACATCTTTTTAAATTTTAATTTTTTCATCAATAAAATTAGTATGTTGTACTAGGTGGTAACTCTGGCCCCCTTCAACTCTAATATCCTGAAATTTGACATTAAAGTCTCAAAGGCCATTAACTCTTCTCCATGGGTTCAGACTATGCTCTTTCGTTCCCCTTCTCCCTAAAAAGTTTGAGGACTCTCAAATCTTCCTTAGTGGGTCAATTGAACCCCAGCATTTTCAGAATTTGTTTCACAGAAGAGCAGTTTATATAACTCCTTCTTGAACATAGGGATCTCTGGAGTATTTATCTGCTGTAGACCTAGGAGAAAAAAGACCTTCTTGGAATAATCTTGCTAAGGTAACAGAAATGAAAAGACATCATATAGAAGCCATACCTGTCTCTTGTCAAGTATCTTCGGCATTTTTTTTCCTCTTTTGATCCTATAGAAATGAAGGACATGCTAAACATAATATGGGGGATGTCAGTGTCCCATCTACCTCATTGTGTCCCCATTTAAACTTCCTTTAGTATTTAGCCCTTGGTTTCCAGTACTGGAACTCAGCACCTTCTCTCTTTGGGTCTCTTTTAGGCAGCTGATACACAGGAGTTTGGGACCAAACTGCACAAAATATTTTGTGATATCACCCAGCACCGATTTCTTCACCATTGCTCAAGTAATATGAAACAAGTAAGTGTAAAGTAATAATCAGTACTTTGATGGAAATATTCCATTTGATATGTGGGACTCTTAAATTCAGGGTGAGTAAGGTACCTGTACACTAACAGTCTGAGGCTGGCCTTTCAGCAAGAAAGCCTGTTGTTTTGAAAAACTTTATAAAGCAAGTATTACATAGAGGTTGGGAGAACAGTTAGATAATCCTTGAATTCTGTCACTAACTAGTTGTTGGCATTATTGTAGAAGTTATTTAATCTTTCTAAACCTCAACTTTATCAGTAAAAATAAGAATGATGCATACCTAAAGTTACTGTTATCAAGTATGAATAAGATCATGTATGTAAAATGCTCAGTGTAGCTACTATTATAATGGTGATTATATTACGAGATCATTATAATTAGTGTTGCCTAATAAAAAATACATCTTTATCTGTTTACCTTTATGGGTGCTGAAGCTCTAGATTTGCATTATTTAGGGCCTCTACCCTCTAAAAGGTCACATAGTTTCAGCTGGATTTGTGGTAGACTCCCTTAACAAGGGAAGGAAGATTATAGCTAGGAAATTCTATATATCTCCAGATTACAGGTAGAACTGGTATTACTGGTATAACTGAAGCTTTCCTGGCTCTAAAATCAATAGGATTGACTTTTCTAGACTTTAGTATAGGATGACTAAATAAGAGAGATTCAAGTTGAAATTGTTGCTACTGTTTCACCAATGGCTTCTGGCCAAGATGGAGTAATAGACTAGATTTGCAGTCTTGCCTGAAATAAAAATTTTGGACACAATATATGGAACAATGGCTTGAAGATAATGGACATCAGGCAACAAATGGAATGGTCATTTCTAAGTGACAAAAAGCAAAATTTTTTGCTTCATCAAACAAAATGATGATTGCCCTGGCATACTGCCTAGAGAAAGTATGAAGTCCACAGAAAAAAATTAGAGGGAGTCCAGTAAAACTAGTAATCTCTCTAAGTTGAATAGATGGAGCTGGGAATCCAGGGATACTGTCTTAATCCATCTGTGTTGCTATAACAAAATACCCATGGCTAGATACCTTATAAAGAAAAGAGGTTTTATTGGCTCATGATTCTGGTGGCTAGAAAGTCCAGACATCATGATAACCAGTGTCTAGTGATGGGGAGAAACAAGATTGAGAGGGAAGGTTATCCTCTAATCTACTCCTGTGAGATGCAACCCATTTCAACTGACTTCATGAGAACATTAGAGGCTGACCTCACTGAGGGACTCATAACCAGATCACCTCCTACGAGGCCCTATGTCCTAAAGATCACAATACCTTTCATTACTATTGCACTGGGGAGCAAGCCTTGCATATGAACCTCTGGGGAGTAAACCATAGCAGATGCCAAGGCAGCTAAAGTTTTCAAGGAATAATATGATTGAAGAGAGAGCTGGACACAGAAAATTCTGGACAGCTGCAGTAGAATTCCCTTTCTACTATTCATTTAAATGCTAATCAGTTCATATCTGTGAGGAAACTATCCACTGTAGAGACTCACTTGAAGGGATGAGAGGAACAGCAGAGGATTAGAGCTTACATAGATCTAGAAACAGTGAATATTCCCACTGTCCAGACAGGAAAACATCAAAGTTTGTGGAGCATCAGGTAGAATATTAAGAGTATTACCTCAGGAGTGGATAAAAATCAAACCTACAATGAACACTCTAGTCCTATCCTAACAAAGCTTGAAAGTTCAAGCAAGACCCAAAAGGATCAAACTGATTGCAAGTAATTCAATGGCATTATCAAACAAATGGATTAAATATTTATAAGAATATAGGGATATAGCAATACCCAGTACTCACCAAATAATAGTCATAGAACCTTATATCCCATAAACAATTAACAGTTTTTCTAAGAAGCAAGAAAACACAACCCATAATGAGAAAATATAATCCAAACTGATCCAGAGCTGATATATCAGATAGAATTAGTAAAGATAAGCCAGGTGTGGTGGTGCATGTGTGTAATCCCAGCACTTAGGACCCTGAAGCAAATTGAAAGCCAGCCTCAGCTACATAGTGAGTTTAAGGCTGAACTAAGTAACAAAAACCTGGTCTCAAAAAAGAAAAAAAAAGAATAAAGACATTAGGCATTTATTATTGCTACTTTTTTTTTTTTTTTTTTTTTTTTTCTTTTTTGAGACAGGGTCTCATTATGTAGTTCAGACTGCCCTGGAACTCACTATGTAGCCCAGGCTAACCTCAAACTTGCAGTGATCCTCCTGCCTTAGCCACCCGAGTGCTGGGATTACAGGCGTGCACCACCATGCCTGTCTTATCACTACATTTATTTATTTATTTATTTATTCATTCATTCATTCTTTTGGTACCAGCGATCAAACTCGGGTCCTTGAGCTTGTGAGGCAAGCAGCAGAACCACTGAGGTAATCCCTGGCCCTTTACTTGTTATTTTTTGGGTACAGGGGAACAAACTCAGGACCTTGTGCTTGCAAGGCAGGAAATGAAACCACTGAACTAGATCCCTGGCCCAGTATGCCACAATTTTTATTGCAGCGATTTTTTGTGAGGGTCTGGAGTTTGATCTCAAAAGCAATGTTCTATTTTTGTGTGATCTTTTATAGAGAAATTACTATCCTGGCTGATATTAGAAATATCTTTTTTAAATCTCTTTTTTTGTAGTGTTGGAGATCAAACTTATCACCTTACACAGGCTATGCTCTCTACCACTGATCTACCAACTTCCTACCACCAGCCCTCAAATATCTTTAATCTTGTAGGACTCACAGTAAAGAGAAAACTCCTACACTTATTCAGTTGTGTATACACACTCAGTGGAAAAAAAAAGTCATTAATAGCAGCAATTTCTCTTAAGAAGATATACAACTACAATTGTACCTCAATTCACAAACTTAATTCTATGATTCTGGCCACAAACCTAATTGGACAAGAACCAATCAAATTTCCTCATAAGGTCAACAATGAACTTAACCACGGAATTTTGTTTTTCATCCAATTCAGTTTGCAACCAGAATCATGGAAAGAATTAATTTTGTGAACCAAGGTACCATTGTAACAAGAATGAACACTGAACTGTGAGAATAATTTAATCACATTTAATTGGTATTTCTTTTGGGGATGACGGATTAAACTCATTACCAAAAAACCCTTATAATACTTATTATGTCCCTGCTGCCATGTCACAAGACGCTTGCCAAGACAAGGAAGTTTCAGGCCCCATGAAACTTTAATCAAGTGCAACCATAAGTAATACTGAAGAAAGTTTACCATCTGACCAGGGGGCACTACTTTTAAGGCATTCTATGGCTTATCTTTTGCAGTATTTTAAGTTATTCTCATTGAAAATTGTGTTCATTCATAGTGTCTATGGAGGAAAGAAATATAACCAGTTTGGGCTAAAATATGATAAATCATTCTTTAGTGTCTACATAAAAGTAACAGCATTAAACGTGTTCTGGCAATCACTGTTAAGCTGCATAAATAAATGAAGTCTCCTTCATTCATTGTGTTGGAAGCACCCAAACCAATCCTACTACTTTTGACTGAACTGGAAAAATGGAAGCTTCTTTAAATCCTGACTGTCATTTTATGAGTTTTTCTTTAGGTGGAACTACTACTGCCTCCCATAAAACAGTTATTATAACTATATTCCATTTTTCCAGAAGCTAGAAGAAATATTGACATGTTAAGTAGAGATATGGAAAGTATTTAAAAAGACCCACTGCAAACATTAAAGATGAAGACTACAATGTCTGAGATGAAAATTACACTGAATAGTACTAGGAACATTAGATACTTAAGGAAAACCATGTAGCAATTGAAACTATCTGAAATAAAACACAGGTGTTAAAAAAGACTATAAATAAGTAATAGTGTATCAGTGAGCCATGGTACAACTTCAAACAGCCTAATATAGATGTAATTTGAGAATCTAAAGAAGAGAGGGAGTGGAATAACAAAAACTATGAAGAATTGCTGAAATTTTTCCAAATCTATTGAAATCTCTAAATTTATGCCTAGGAATCTCAATGAACTCTAGGCCCAAGGAACATAAAGTAACACCAAGGCACATAATAATTAAATCAGTTAAAACTTGTGGTAAGAGAAAATCTTAAAAGCAGAGGGGGAAAAATATCTCCATATTATATACAAAGCAACAATTAAAGACTATAGCAAATTTCTCATTGGAAGCAATGTAAATTAGAAGAAAGTGGAGCAGTATCATTACAGTATTGGGGGAAAAAAGTAAACCTCTTGACTTAAAATTCTTTGCTTAGCAAAATTTTAAAACAATGAAATAAAGATTTTTTTCTTACATACAAAATATGAAAGAATTCATTATCAGGAGGCAAGAAATGTAAAGGAAATCCTTGAAGCAGAAGAAAAGTAATGGAATTAAGAGTACTGGAAATGGTAACTACATGGGTAAATACAAAGACATTTGCTTATTATTTAAATCCTTTTAAAACACAGTTGAAGCTAGGCATGGTGGCACATACTCTAAGAGGCTTAGGCAAAAGGATTGAAAGTTTGAGCCTATCCCTAGACAATTTAGTACTTAGCAAGACCCCCCACTCAAAATATAAAATTTTAAAAAGGGGCTGAGGATACAGCTCAGTGTGAAGGCCCTGGGTTCAATCCTCAATACCACTCATACTTACAAAAAAGGATGGGGATAGAGCTCAGTACGGAGGTCCTGGGTTCAATCTTTCAGTACTACAAAACAAAATAAAATATGGTTGCCTTTTTGCAGGGCTGGCAGATGAGTCCAGGGGCCTATACCTGCTGGATAAGCACTCTACTACTGAGGTATACCCCCAGCTCCATTGACTTTTTTTTTTTTTGCTAGTACTCAGTATTGAACCTAGGGAGCTTTGAGAATACTATATGTGGAGTGACCTACTATTACTTGAAAGTAGACTGAGTTCAAAGGAACTGCTAAAATAGCACAAAAAAGAGTAATAACTAATAAGCTAGGAAAGAAAATGGAATTTTAAAATTA